CCGGAACCATGAGACTCTTCCCCACATTTACTTTCAAGCCAAATACAACTTGAAAACAAATCAAAGCAGATCTCAAATATCTTAACTGGGACTCATCAACGTCACAAAAAATTAAGGTATAATCAACAAACAAGTTAACAACAGATGGGATATCTCCAACTAGCTATGCAAATCCCTCCCCACCTCGAAGCCCTTATAAAACCCAAGTCCACTATTGTCCTCAACATCCTACTCAAAGCCTATATCACAATCAGAAACAAAAAGGGTGAAAGCAGGTTCCCCTGTCTCAAACCCTGACAACTGCTAGAAAATTCAATAGGAGCACCGTTCACAAGGACTGAAAATCTGACGGTGAAAATGCAAAACTCAATCGACCTCCTCCACCTCTCCCCATAACCCATTTTTTCCATCAAAAAGAGCGAAAATGCTCCAACTCACATGGTCATAAGCCTTCTCTATATCAAGCTTGCACAAAACCCAGGAACCTCGCTGCTCAATTAGGAGTCCACACACTCACCTACGATAAGAACCGAGTTTAAAATTTGACGGCCCCACAAAGGCATTTTGAGAGTCCGAAATAATCCCATCCACAACCTCCCTTAATCTCAAGGCAAGGACTTTAGCAATTAGTTTCTAGATGCAACCCACCAAACTAATAGGTCTAACATCCCTCACAGCAGCCGCCCCCCTTTTCTTACGAACAAAAGCAATAAAAGTGGCATTCAAACTTTTCTTAAACCGGCCTTGAGAATAAAAAACATGGAAAGTGCATGTCACCTCCCCTCTAACCACCTCCCAATTATAAAGCAAGAAACGCATAGAAAAACCATCTGCACCCGAGGATTTATCCCCGTTGCAGCTCTTCAGAGCCTTCAGCTCTTCAGAGCCTTCAGCACTTCCTCTTCCGTGAAAGGCCTCTCCAAACCATCCCAATCCGAAACATCAATTGAGTCCAACTACAACCCCCCAAGCAAACGTCTCCAACTAGAAGTTTCTATGAACAACTCTTGAAAGAAAGAAGCTAAACCCCAACACAACTCCTCCTCCTTGATCAACACCTCTCCATCAACCCTAATCCTTCCTACATGATTGCCCCTCCGATGAGCATTCGCAAGCCTATGAAAGAAATTTGTGTTTTTGTCACCCTCCATAAGTCACAAAGCTCCGTCTCCATGAAATCTCCTTAGACATAGCAATCTCAACAATCTCCGTCTTACACTCCTCCCTCCTACATCTCTTCGACTCATCAAGGTCCCCTAAACCCTCTAAGGGGTCAATCTATGCAATCTCCATCAAAGCTCTATACTTCCTTTATCCTAGATTCCCAAAAACCTCCCTATTCCACCTCTTAATGTCTTCCTTCAAACGACGCAACTTTCCTACAGGATAAAGCTCGAATTGCCACGCACCCCATAACTCTGCCAACATAAAGACACTCTCTCTTTAAATCCCTCCGCCCGAAGCCATATATTCTCAAATCTAAACGGAGAACTCCTATGCAATCCAAGATAATCGGGATATGATTTGAGGTGGGTCTAGCCATCGCCACCACAACCACATCCGGGAATCTCTCCTCCCAATCTCCGTATAAAAAAAAAAAATGAGTTAGGTCAAGACAAAGTAGGAATGAATCTCTAGGATCAACCTATCAAGCACCTCATTCAATCTCGCCGCTAGAACTTTGGCTATAAGCCCGTAGATGCTGCCCACCAAGCTAATAGGCCTAAAGTCCTTTACATAAGTGGCACCACCTTTCTTTGAAATGAGTGCAATAAAGGAGGCATCCATAGACTTCTTAAACCAACCACGCAATTGAAAGAAGTTGAATGCCTCCATGATCTCCCTCTTCACCAACCCCCAATTTTGCTAAAAGAATCCCATAGCGAACCCATCCAACCTAAGTGTTTTGTCTCCACTACAGCTCTACAAAGCCAAAGCCAAAGCCGCCACCTCCTCAAAGGGTCTCTCCAAGTGCTCTCTATCCTCCACCGAAATCGAGTCAAACTCCAAACCGCACAAATGAGGTCTCCAAGGGCAAGAATCCATGTAAAGGTGCTGATAGAACGAGATGACACCTCTCCACATCCTCCTCTTTGCTCAACAAATAGCCGTTGACCTTGATTTGCCCATTATGGTTACTCGTGCGAGGTTGCGATGAGCATTTGCACCTATGGAATAACCCCGTTTTTCGGTCCCCCTCCACCCCTTCCTTCAAATCAAGGTCCGTGATCTCAACTAGCAACTTGTTCTTCCTCCATTCAAGGTTGTTGAAAACCTCCCTATTCAATTTCTTCAGGACTTCCTTCAATAGCTAGATCTTGATCACAAGCACAAAACTTAGGGTGCCTATATCTGTAGCCACCGACCAACTCTGGACCCTCTCCTTGAACCAGTCTGCCCGAAGCAACATATTCTCCAAACAAAAATAAGTCTTCTTCCTCCTCCTCAAGCCCCCACAATCCGGTAAAATTGGAATTTGATCAGACACTGGCATGGCGAGAGACACCTGAACCGCATCTGGATATCTCTCATCCCAATACCTCGAGATCAAGAATCGATTGAGATGAGATATTGTCAAAGTCTCCCTGCCACTGGACCATGTGTGAAGAGCCCCCTCCATCGGTGAATCGATCAACCCCTCCTGGTGAATGAACTTAAAGAAAGCTCGCATAGCCTGTGCCACCTCCCTCAAGTTGATCTCTCCATCGGAAATCTAACTACATTAAACTCCCCCCCAACAACGCACCACAAAGCATCCCATCAAAGTTCATCCCACAATAAAGTCCTCTTTGAATCCTCCACTAGGCCATAAACCCCAGAAAACAACCAAAAGGTCATCCTTCTCTAGTCTAAACAAACAAGAGATAGAAAATCTCCCCTTCCACACATCCACTCTAAAAACCCAACTCTTTTCCAATGCCTTCAAGATACCCCCTGCCGATCCCATGGCATCAAGCGTCTCCTACTCCATAAACTATCCACCACAAATACTCCTCAGAATCACTCTCGAAGTCCCACAACACTGAGATTCTAATACTTAGTATCCAAACTCCAGATGTTATCCCTTGAGGCATCTTGAGTTTGAAGGGGAGTGTTAAGCAAATTGATTCATATTGATTTTGTATCTTTTTTATATAGTAAGTAGGTCTTGCTGTACATAGCACTTCCCCCTTTTTTATGCCTTTTTAAATGTATTCAAGAAGAACAAGTTGTTCTAGCTCAATATCGTCAAGAATTCCTGACTATTGCGTAGGAACAGGTTCATCTTTGAAGTATTTTTCCCTTCCAATACTATCAAAGCTTCCCTCAATCCTTTTATCGAGCATAATGATTCCAAGAATATAAAACTAAAAAATTCGATAAACAAAACCAAAGATACTTATATACTTCTAGCACACAAAAAAAAAAAAAAAAAAAAAAAAAAAAACATATAAATTTCTAATAGCCCGTTCCAATGCCCACTTATATAAGTTACATCTATTATTCTAGAACTAATTATTGAAGATAAAACAAGGAAAGAGTGACTTACGAGAGTAAGGAAACATACGAGGATAGATTTTCCATTAAGGCAATTAGTACTTGATAAGTACTAACTAGAAAATTTAACTCTCAGCCAAAAAAAAAAAAAAAAAATTCATATTGCCATTATATCAATGTTTTGAACTATGGGGGATATGGAAGAGATTGTTACAGAGATATCAAACATGTAAAGTGTCGTAACAAGAAATGGTGAAAACTAAAAGTGAATTACAGAAAATTTCAGTAGAAGTGAGGAACATTTGGATATAATTGGATATATTTAAATATATTGTAAGTAGGTTAGAGAGACAATAATGCAGTAAAGTTGCATATATACTGCGTATGCAATGTATAGAGTTCCATAAGAGAATGTCAAGCATATATATACCATTCAACCATTCAAATAAGGTCTTCTCAATCAATAAATTTTTCAACTTTTTCTTATTAACCCAGGACATTTTGAGTGAAGAATTTTTCTTTTTCTTTTTTTTGAGAAGTCATTTTGAGTCAAGACATACCCCTACATATATAAGCCATTACTAATAAACTCTTTTCAACAAGGACACGTACATATCACACTGGTGAAGGGTGCGATGAACAGCAACTGAAGACTCATACAGCCTTCTCCTTACTTAAATTTACTTTCTAAAAAGTGAAGCCCATGACAAGTAAAATATTGTCACAATATCATCAACATGAGTTGAAACATTTTCAAAATAACACTGACAACTTTGCAAAAAAACGTGCATATGACATAAGAACTCCATGAAATATGATGCATAGCGACAATGTTGTTGCTATGATGATTAATGATGTGAGATATTACTAGAAAGATAGCTAAGATAAACATCTACATCGAGTTCAATCAACATGCTATGTCAATCGAAACTGACATCTCAACTAGATAAATGAAATTTGGGTTCAGATTTATCTGCTTAAATCAGGACCCAATTTCAAAGTGATGAATGTGATTCAGTTCATAATCAGGTCTAACTAGGATCAATTCATATTTGATTTGGATCATTTTACAAAATCAGATAATAGAGAACTGACCAACAAGCCAGTGACCTAGCGGTACCAAACCCCTACTTTCCAAAGGGAGGTCAGGGGTTCAAGCCTCAGTGGAGGCATGTGTGTGTGAGTACCAACTAAGGAAAAAAATAAATAAATAATAAAAAGAAGAGAGAGAGAACTATTTATTATGCATCACATTCCCAGTAACGGGATTCATTCATTCTTGATCAGGCACTTGACCAACATTCCAATTTTTTATCCTACGTGAATTGCCAACATTTATGTCAAATGAGATCAAAAAACCCTACTTCTTACAGAAAATGGTCACCTTAAATTACATATAAATCTAATTTTGTTAGTGAAAGTAACCTCCAAGACTAAAGAAAATGAAAAGGCAGAAAGTTCATAGACATGGAACTGCAGCATAAGAAAGATAGAATGCTAAACAAGTATCATAATTCAATTACCAGAGGATTGACATTTGCTAAACCAACTCCTTGACCAGATGCCAAGAATATTTCATTCTCAAGTGTCTCTTTATCTTGAAGACAATGCAAAATCTCTGAAGGGCGAAAAAACCAATGAACTTTTACTTTCTTTGTCTTATCTGCATTTTCCCATATCTTTATAAGTTTCCCAATATAAGGCAAAGCTCCTTCCTTGTGCAAATATACAGAGTCATGTAGAGTGTACTCCAAGCCATCGTATGTAAAAGATTCATAAAACTGGACCTCTTTCTTTTTCCCGCCAACTCCTCTCTTTTTACCCCATTTAAATTCCAGGTCCTTGTCATCATTCACTTCACCTTGATCAGACATAGTTGCAATCTTCTCTTTGAGCCAAGTGATTAATAATCAGCGCTAAAAGTAACTGAACCTGAAAAAAATATATATTATTAGGAAAGGAAAAAAAAAATTAACATTTCTTAAGGAAATAAACAACAAAAGGGTTGAAATTAATTCAATTGATGGATGCATGGACACACAACTATTGCTTGTACCTGTGGAAGCCAATGTTATGAGCACCGCAAAGATTTGCTAGAATAATACTGTACTAATTTCTTAAAGATTACAACGAGATAGCATTCTATAGACAGTACATCGCAAGAACATTCTATGAATCCCAAGACTAAATAATCCTCTTTTCAAGAACAATAATCTTCATATACCAGTTATATCAAAGTATATTAAGACTTTCAAAGCATGCAATAGATCTCAAATACCTTCAAAGAAGGGAGTTTTTCCAAAGATTGTATTTAAAGTACCATGTGGTATTCAACATCTTCCATATAACAATACAACAACTAGAAAATGGTAATCTCTAAACCCGAACAAGGTATTTATTAATCAATGATTCTACATTTTTTGTAGACAATATTTGTTACAAAACAATTATCTTGACAGATTATCACTATGAAGCATGAGAAATATATATATATATATATATATATATATATATATATATTCATTTTCATCCAACAACAAGGGAATAATACTTGTGTTCAAGTGAATATGAAAATTTTGAAAATATATGTATATATACACATCCATCTAAACAAACATCTCAAAATGAAATTAGGTGGTCTTGTCAAGGCATTGTTCTTAAAAAAGAGATGGCAAAATGAAGATGCAAAAGAGAAATTATAAGCATACCCACGTATATTGAGTTTGAAATATGTATATTTTACTTGAACCCATATAAACATATATATAGATGTGAGTGAGTTCTCTATTATTTTGGATGAAAGGGCATTTATGTACATTTGTAGAGGATTTTGTAGTTGTTTTGGATAACATGAGGGTATAGTGTAATTTTCTTTTGTGCAATTGTTCTGTGGGTATGCTCCCCCCTCTGAGCCTCTATTTAATAATTTTTTACTTTCCAAAAAAAATATATATATAGATGTGTGCGCGTTTGTGCATAGAGAGAAAGGAAGTGTAGTTCATGCTGAGCCTATAGTATAGGGCTTCTTCGCTTCTCTGCTTTGAAAATTTTCCTTTTTTCTTTGGGAGGGGGTTCAATAGAGTTTCAAGATTCAATAATCAAAAAATAAGGTGTACAATATTATTTATAGAAAATTAAAAAATAAAATAAAAACAGCTTTAGCAAACAGCCTGTAATTTTTTTCCCCTATTTTTTATTTTATTCAGATTACTTTATCCTTTATTTTATATATATAGTAATCACCCAAAATATGCAATATTATATTTTGTTATTTTTTTAAACAGCAACCCACAACCAATTTTTTCACAATATAATACCTAAGCCATGTCTTCGGGTCCTATGATTTTGCAACTCAAGTGCTACTAAAACACACATCCTCTTCTATACATATTAATGTATAATTGGATTATTGATACCTTAAGTTTCAAAAACAATAGACTTATAATGCTCACTCCTTTCAGCAGGAATTTGTTCTTGTGGGATGGTTCATAGTGAAACACAAAAAACTTAAAATCAGTGCCTCAAATGGGCGCATTGCAGAAGTCAAGTTCTCTTTCACCCTTTTTTTCTTTTTTGCCTTTTTAGCAGGTTCCTATGCTAGATCTTTTCCAGACCTAATGCAAGTAAATTGTACCACGGTAGTAAATATATATATATATATAACAAAATAACATCCTCTGATCCTGAACAACTAAATAGAAATCTGATAGATAATCCTCATGTGAACAATGTTCAACAATCTTACAAAAATTAGTGCCTACTCTTGAAAACCAGTCTCCCATTTGAAATATACACCAAAAAGCTTCAAAAAAACTACTAATTATTTTTGCATCTGGCACTATTAACCCACAGATTGAATATCGTTAACATTCAATAGCTAATGTTGTTCATATTTTCCATAATGACTCAAATCCTGACTGGCAGTACAAGGAGGTACACAAACTCTTATGAAAACAAACAGAACTTCTAAATGTATATTGTGTATTATTCAAATAACTCTGGATAGACATACTTACTTTCTCTATTCCTACATATAATTTCTGTGGAAAATTTATCTTGTAAGTGTTTCTTACCAGACAAGCAGAGGGTATCTAAACCCTAATTTCACAATCAAAATTCCAATAGGAAAAAAGAAAAAGATAATATAGACAAGCAATATACTAGGAAAAAATGGCAAAATACCATATTAGAAAACATAAAAAGAATCACTACCATACAAATTTTACTTTCTTCAACAGTGAAGTCGGGACTCATGAAAATTATCTCGTTATTTTTCTCGGGAAACAAACACAGGAGCTTAGTGAGACTTAGAATCATGAATAAAAGTAATGAAGACAAGCAATAATAACAAAAAAATTATGTCAAGAAGAAAAAAAAAGAAAGAAAGAAACATAACTGGACTTACAATTTCTCTTGATTCTTCCGCTACAAACCCTAGAAGCAAAATAGGGCACAGTTTTTTATATTGTTAGTTGTTACGAGTCCTTTTTGGTGATTATTGATTTGTCCGGTGATTGTCTCTGGAGATTACGTCGGTATCGTCTTCACCGTTGATTTCGCCTCGACACTCGCCGGCGGCAGTCTGTATGGCACCTTTGCAGAGTATCGACGACAGTGCGTGAGAAGGCAGGGAAAGAGAAAGCAGAGAGTAAAAAGAACTGTACGTTGTTTGTTTTTTATACAAGATTGGGTATGGATTGTCAGGTTTTGCTGGAAGTTGTAATTTAAAATGGCTTCTTTTTCTTTTAGACCAAAAAAAAATTGCAATTGGTGTTTTATAAAATTTAAAATCTTACAATATAGCATCGATGAAAATTTTGGGTGTAATTTGATGGAATTTGTTAATTAGTTCACTTAAAATTTTGTAACCGACATAATATGTCATTCTTTAATTAATAATAAAAAATAAAAAAATAATTGTATAATAAAATTACTATTTAGAGCAACTCGCCTGAGTATTTTGGACTTTCCAATTTTTTTATTAACTTAGTAAATTATTAATATTTTAGTCAAAAAAAAATTTACAAAAAATTAAATAATACAATATTCAGTATATGTTGATGCATTTATTATAGACCTGAAAATAAAGGCAATTTATAAAAAAAAATAATATAATAATAATAAATCATTTTTTTAGGAAAATATTTTTAAGAAATTGAATTTGCCTTCTTTTTTTTTTTTCCAAAACAACCTTTAAGGCACAGTTTGTGTCAACTAGACACCAATAATGCCTTAATAGATCTTTGCTCTAGTTTTTTTATTAAGGGAAAAAAAAGAAAAAAAAATTTGCCCAAAATACGGATTTTAGCCAAACAAGCCCTTAAAAAATAAAACTCAACAGCTACAGTGGAGATGGCCTATTTAAAAAATAAATAATTGATTAATGCGACCAGAGTCATACATGCGGGCCTGTAGATCACCAAAAGGGTCATGAAAAATGGCGACCCACATAGGCGATCCAATTTTTCCAGCCCAATTTTGGCTACTCACATTGTAATGCTCCAAATTCTATCATCCAGTGCATTAACCAAGAAGATCCAATCCTAACCCGAAACCTAGTCCAAAATGCGGAAGTTGAAAATCATAATAGCTCACATGGCTATTGCGACCAAAATGAAGTGTGAAATGGGTCTAAATATGCCATACTAAACATATAGAAACGTTGAATTAGGTTCTAGGCCATATGAGAATGGTTTCATTACAAATTAACATTTTTAACATACAGAAAACATGATAACCCTCAATAAAATGGTCATAACTCACTCCATGGTTGGAATTTTGGGATCAAACTAGTACCATTGGAAAGCAAGTTTCAAGAAGGTCAGTTTGAGCACAGGAATGACCTAATTTAGATTTTAAACGAATGAGTTATGATCGTTTAAAGTTAATGTAAAAAAATCTGAAAAGTACTGTAAGTGCGCTCGAGCAACGCTCAAGCTTAAAACATGTGTTTGAGCTCAAATAGAGATCCTAAGAGTTGTTTTTCCTGAATGTGGTGTGCTCGAGCTCACTAAGACCTGTGCTCAAGCACAATGTCCCATAAGGTGTGAAACATCCCTGTTTTTGGTATTTAAGGTCATGGGCACCTCCTTGGTACCAAATATGATCATGAATTAAGTCTAAAATGTGCAATAAATGATAGGAAAACATACATTGACATTAAAAATAGCCTTATGGCTTCATTATATCAACTTTTTCAGTTTCAAATACATGAAACATAGAGTATAAATGGCTTGGGAACTCCAAAAGATGAAAGTGAGTTCCCAGCCCATTTCCCTCTTAAAAAGAATGTTGCATTATGCCAAATATTATCAAATTACATGTCCAAAATAGATATAATCTAAACATAGCATGGCAGAAGTGAAGTAATAAAGGAGCCCATCCAAGCTAAAGATGAAGGGGATCCTCAATGGTGATGTTCTTACCTGAAAAATGTTAATATAATGGGGTAAGCATGACGACTCAATAGGAATGTCTCATTAATATAAACTAGGTTTCTCGAAAATCCTACAAACATAGCATGCCTATACGATGTAAAGGACATGCACCCTAACATCTAGTCTCAAAGGAACCTATCAAGGATAATCCTAGACTAGCATACAAATAAGCCATATATGTATATATGCACATATATATAAAGAGAGAAACCATTTCATTACAAGTAGTCATATAATGAGAAGAAACATTTCGCTATAAACAATCAAGCACAATAGTGAAACAAAGTAAACCATAAGTTGCAATAACACATGAATGCCAACTTAAATAATAAAATCTAAAATCAACAAATGGGATAACTCAAAAGACACCCACACTCCTGGTCACATAGCCAAGTTATGCGCCAATAATAAAAATATGGTCATTCTCGAGCTATTAACCTCACCGAAAACCAACCGAGTAGGCACGAAAAATTGGGAAAACTCATGTTTCACCCGCGAACGCTAAGACCTCACATCCTCACTGAATCAAATCCGAACAAAATCCCTGAGTATCTCCCAAATCAACAATCAATCCACAAGATAAATCCATATACCATGATATGCCCACATTGCACGTCACAAATGCTAGTAAATCACACTAATCACACAATCCATGCCCTATGGTCCAAATCACTACAATGACATACTCATTGATGCAATGTCAACAATTTGGGCATTTTAAAGTCATGTCATATCATATGAACATTTCATTAAATACAAGATGTTCAAAACTCATTATCATTATATAGACATGCTTTTTAAGGAAAAATTTAATAAGCCACATATATACATGTTCATATACCAATCTTAAAGTTAAACATAATACACAAGGCACTTGAATTGCAAGTAAATATACATACCAAGAGTTAAGGTTTCAACAATCGCAAATAATGTTACCAATGAGTCAATCAAGCATGTTATATATGAAATCCAATACAATGAGTCTTTATAACATCAATAACATGTGATTATATCATCAATTACACACTTTAAATTCAACTATCACACACATATGCATGTATAACTCACACTATGCTCATAAAACCCAATGAAATCCTACGTTATAAACATAATACACCCCTACCTCATTCTAGGAGCAAACCCAAGAAATCTCCAAACTAAAAGTGCTCCAAATGCGAAATTAGCTCCATAGGGTTGAAAAGGAGTGTAGAAAATCTTCTTGTGGCCTCTCCAAAATCCATGCTTAAGCTCACACCCGAAAATACAAGTGGCTCCAAATCAAAAATAAAAAGAAGGGTTTTGAAGGTCTTGGTGTCCCCGTCCTCTTTCCCTTCTATGGTTAGTGAAGGATCTCAAGGGAAAAGGGTGAAAAATGAGCTTGAAGCTCTAGGTAAATAGTGTTAATAGAGTTTTGATGAGAGAGGAAGAAGATGAAGAGTAGAGAAAAAGAGAGTGATGTAAAAAAAGCGAGCCACACACACTTTAGCACAACCTCTCTCGCACACACACACATTGACCCTACACTTGTCATGCACACACACACTTCCTCATCATCTACCTTCCATTCCTAGTCAACAAGTCAAAGGTGGGGCCCACACTTTCCTTAAATGCACTAAAGTCCCCAAAGAATGCAAATAACACACGTGTAAAACAAACCCCACAATGCTAATAATGAGTATAGTGCCTCAAATGAAAAATTCAAGGTGTCAAAAAATATTCCCGAACACCAACCGACCCGGGCCCACATGACCCGAACATAAAAATGGATGAAAAAATAATATAGAAAAAGAAAATAGGTCCTCACATGCATTGAGTGGATTGGATCGCCAAAATTGGGTTAGGCTCACTGAATGGGTCACGCCATTGGAGCTACTCTTACTAAACGCAAATCCAAAATTATTTCAAATCCAATCCAATCTCTTTTCCTTTTTCCAATTCAAATTCCAAAATAATTTGATCCCAAACATAATGTAACTTTGGAAGGGAGAAATATATAAATCACTTACCAAAATACACGCGCGCGTGCGCGTACACACACATATCTATACTACTAATAAAGGTGGATTCATTTTCTAATATTTATTTACATTTTAAAACACTTAATTTACTTAAATAATTCATTACTTGACTTTTCAATATCTAATTTCTACTGTTATACATCTTTTGATTCTTAAACATTGTACCTTATATGATTTCAATGTTTTTTGATATTTTCATACCAACACACTTTTACACTTTAGACAGATTTTTAATATGAAAAATAAATTATTTATTTATTTATTTTTTGCTTACCAAGTTGTCTTCTTTTAGAAAAGAGTTTCACTTATTCATACTAAACACCTTTTCTTTCATGAAGAGTTTCTGTTAGTTAAAATATACCACCTCTTTATTTATTATTATTATTTATAAAAAAAAGTAGGTGGGATATTTCAATTCCCTAATTTACATTCTAACTCTAGATCTCTCTCTTTATATTTCTATGCAAAAATTTCTCTACAAAAATTTAATAGAGGTTTTATTCACGGTTATCTTGAACCCCATTTGTTGAAGACATATAAAGTTTATTAACATGCATCAAATTGGTTTCCAACAAAATAAAGTTTTTAAAAATCTATTAATAAATGGTGTGAAAGTATACACTAAGAAAACTATTGAGAGGAATATTTCTTTCTACCTTTCTTTGATAATGTACATAACATCTACATAAAATAGGTGATATAAGGTATGAAAATAGGAACTAATTAATTACTGATTCTAAATTAAATTTAAACTTTCCTATTCTTTAGGCATTGACTAATTCTACATATTTACAGTTATGATATCCCTGAAATTTTAGCTATATCTTGGCTGAATAATTTACGTTTCCAACACTCCCCCTCAAGCTAGCTTGAATATGTCTTCCATGGCCAGCTTACCAGTTAAGTAGTCAAACTGTCTTTTGTGTAGTCCCTTTGTAAGAACATCTGCAATTTGCTCGGTGGTGGGTATATAAGACATGCAAATTAATCACTTCTCAAGTTTCTCTTTGATAAAGTGCTAGTTAACTTCCCCATGTTTAGTTCTGTCGTGAAGGACATGTGATCGGTTGATCAACTATACATCAACCTTCGCAATAGCACGAATCATTGTAAAATAGGGCTATTGGTCGGGTAAGTCGAACCACTGGGACTGCGCTAGTCTTACGGCAACCTTAGTGTCTAGAATCTTTCTAGAATGATGAAGGGGTGTTCATAGAGGGTTTGTTTTGTTTGTCACTAAACTACAAATTCA